TACTATAATATGAATCAAAAATCTCATTTTTTGTAAAAAGTTTCCGTAACCCATTTTTAATAGATCAGCTCCCATATGGTTTTAATAATTTATTAATTAAATAAGTTTTACCCTATATAAATAATTTTATAAAATAAAATCATAATAATATTTTAATAGAAAAAACTTACCTTCAAATATTAAATCTAATAAAAATATTTCATTGAATATCGAAAATATCTACTAAATAAAAATTTAATTATACAGTTTACAGATCAATATCACCATACCTGTGAATCATTTACTGAAAAAATCAAAATGCTGTATATCAAGTCTTTGCGCAATATAACTTACCTATTATTAAATCAACAGGCGAATAAGCGGAATGAAAGAAATTATCTATGACTGAATAGGCATTTGATCATCTTGATGATCTAATTAATTCTCAAAATCCTAGCGAATATTCTAAAACTTATATGAAAGCCATAATGGAAAAAGTATTTCCTAATGAATTGTTCTCAAATAATTCAACAGCATATATCATGGCTATTGTTTTTTTATTTTTGGATCCTCATAGTGGTACAGTAGAGATGAATAAGGAATAGTGACACTAAAGATGTGTTACTTGTGAATTATGAACTAACCTAACATTATGTTAACTTTGTTTTTTAATTTCAGGATGAATTAAATGAAAATGTGGAAGATTCAGATTAGGAATTCAATATAAGATTTATTTTCATATTGCTACTTATTACTTATTATTATACTTGTATTTACATGCATTATGAATTCAATAAAAATTTACATAATTAAATATTATCATTATATTGACAATTTTTACAAATGAATGTTTACACTAACTGAAAAATAGATGTTAAATTAATAGTTTTTAGATGCATATAATATGATATCCAATCTGCAGAGGATTCATCAATAAACATTTATTAGATATAAGTCCAATAATGGTTTTTACCAGTCTTCTTGAAAATTTAGTAATGTATATTATATTATATTATATATATTATTTCATAATGTAATATTAAAAATAAATATAAAAATTACTTTTTTTGAAACA